TGAATATTGCCTTCGGTGGAGCTCCCTATGGGGCCGGCGGTGGAGCTGCCTATGGGGCCACTGGGACCGTCGGTGGAGCTCCCTATGGGGCCACGAAACGTGCGAGGGGTGTGCCGAAATGGGTGCGGAAGGCGCATGCGAACGCAGTCACTCGGGCCGTTGGTGGAGCTCCCTATGCATTATGGGGCCACGAAACGTGCGAGGGGTGTGCCGAAATGTGTGCGGCGGGCGCATGCGAACACCGCCACTGGGGCCTTCGGTGGAGCTCCCTACGGGGCCGCGAAACGTGTACGGGATGCACCGAAATGGGCAGGGCGAACGCATGCGAACACCCCCAGCGGAGCCTTCGGTGGCGCTCCCTATGGGGCCGCGAAACTTGTGAGTAGTGAGTCGAAAACGATTGGGGCGGACGCATGCAAACACAGCCACTGGGCCCACGGTGGAGCTCCCTATGGGGCCACGAAACGTGTTAGGGGTGTGCCGACCTGGATGCGGCGGGCGCATGCGAGCGCAGCCGCTGGGGTCTCCGGTGAAGCTCCCTATGAGGGGATACAAGACGGGTGAGGGATGTGCCGAAGTGGGTGCGGCGGGCGCGTGAAAACACCACCACTGGGGCCAGCGGTGGAGCTCCCTGTAGGGTCACGAAACGTGTGAGGGGTGTTGTGCCGGAATGGGTGCGGCTGGCGTATGCGAACGCAGCCCCTGGGACCGTTGGTGGAGCTCCCTATGGAGCCACGAAACGTGCGAGAGGTGTTCCAAAATGGCTGACTGGTGCGGAGGGCATAGGCACGGATGGGACGAGGGAGAAGCGGGAGGAGGAGGGAGGAGTGAGGGAGACACGGGGCGCTGTCTCTTCAAAACGAAGACCCAACACCACAGGACCGTTGGGGACTATCCTGTGCCAAATCACCCGAGGTACGCGCTGACGCCGCGCGACGCGCCGCGTGCGAGCGCGAGCGCGTGCATCTCAGACGCCATGGAGAGCCCGACCGCTGCGGAATCGCCCGAGCTTCGCGTGGACGCCGCACGACGCGCCGCGTGCGAGCGTGAGCGCGTGCAGCTCAGACGCCATGGATGGAGGGCCGGACCGCTGCGGGATCCCGCGAAGCCCCCGCGAGGCGCGATGGCGCCGCGCTGCCGCCAGCCGTCAGCTCGCTCTCTATCTCGCCAGCTCAGCTCGTTCCTCGGACATTGTCCGATCGACTGCAAAATCACCACCACCACCATCATCACCACCATCAGCATCACCACCGTCACCATCACCATCATCATCACCATCACCATCACCATCACCATCACCATCATCTCATCATCATCCTCATCATCATCATCATCATCATCATCATCATCATCATCATCATCATCATCATCATCATCATTATCATCACCATCACCATCATCCTCATCAACGTCACCATCATCATCCTTGTCCTCATCGCCTCCCGCTGGCAGCGCTGGCCGCGGGCGACCTCTCGGCGTTTCGCAGCGCGCGCGCGTGCTCCCGGCGAGCCAAAGGTGCGTTACAGCCAAGCTGCTGCCTCAAGGAACGCTACGGCAGTCTCCTGTCGTGACGACCCTGGCGATGGACTCCGACATCATGATTTCAACATCGAGAGGCCGCGTGGGGCCCAGGCCCGACAGCCAAAAGACCCGCGACGAACGAAACGTGTCCCTGGGATGGGGCCGTGGGCGCCGGGGCCCACGCCGTGAGACGTCAGGCCCTCGCCCGGGCATGCTGTCGCCACCTCGACGTCACTCTATCACCAGCGTTGATTTCTGACACTGCGTGGACCGCTCAACCTTGAGCGAGCCACGGTTTCTCGATCGCCAGATTGTTCCATGTTGGCCCATTCTTAACCGCCGCCAGAGACCAACCTTCAACGCCCGCGGCGGGGTCGCCGCCGCGTCAACACGACGCGAACCTGGCTCACATGAGGAACGAAGTCTCTCTATGACCCCAAGAGAGCCCGTGCACGAGGAGTGCTACAGAGGAACAGCGATGGAAGGAGCAACGGTCGGGAACTCCTGCTTAGCGTGTCGCGGGAGCGGCCCTGGCGACACGATATGCCCTGCGAGCGGATAGCGTGTCGCTCCGCTCCGCAGGGCGGGAGGCTGGAAGAGCTCAGGACATTGACGCGGGGGAATGGGGACGTGGATAGCGTGTCGCGCCGAGGCGTAGTGGACCAAAACTGACGACGCGACACGCAAAGCCAAAGTTCCGGACATTAAGGAACAGCGGGCCCCTCTTCTAGAGCAAGAAGAAACGACATAAACGCAAATTCTGGGAGCTCCACGCGGATTTCTTGGATCGGCGAGCCACACCTCTCCCTGGCGCGCGGAGCGCGCGGAGCGCGCCAGGTGCGGCGCCAGAGGCGCCGCCACGGGATCCCAGGCGCCCATCTCCAAATCTGCGAGGACATTCGAAAGTGTGTATATATATATATATATATATATATATATATATATATATATATATTTATGCAGCTTGTCCTTCCTCAACGAGCGCTGCTGAGGAATAGCCGCGTTTGAATCCGAACAGGTCCTTACCTCTAAAGCAAGGCCAGGACAGGGACATAACAAGACAAGGATATGTTAGCCAGCGTGGGCCCCACACGGTGTCTCTAGCAATCTAGGCCGTGCAATATATATATATATACACACATACATACATACATACATACATACATACATACATACATACATGCATACGTACATACATATACATATACATATAAACATAAATACATGTATACATATATACATATATACAAACATATTTATATATACATGTATAAAAATGCATGTGTAGATATATATATGGTGCAATCTGCGCGGTGCAATCTACGTGCTGCAATATATGTGGCCGAATCGATGTTGCGCAAATGATGTGGAGCAAGATCTGTGGTGTACTCTACGTGATGCAATATACGCCGCACAATAGATGCTGTACAATTTATGTTGGGCGATATACGTTGTGCAAAAAAGTTGTACAACATACGACGTGCTATATATAATACATATATATATGTGTGGTCGAACATACTTGTTGCACTCTATGTGGTGCAACTTAAGTTGTACCATTGTTCGCCATGCAATAGATACTGTGCAATCTTTATTGTCCCATATATGTGGAGCAGCCTATGTTTTGCAAAATCTGTGGTACGATATATGTGAACCAATTGATGTTTTGGCATATCGATTCTGCAATGTATGACGAGTCATGCATGTGGTGCGATGACTGTTTGTTCGCAATGGGCTGTCAACTCCACGGCTCGCGCAATAATCCCACCCGCCGACACGCAACCAGGTTTGCAAAACCCACGACGCGGAAATATCGATGCCTGCAGCCGGTGGCTGGTGCATCGCTGCGGCCGCGCTAGCGCGCGCAGGCTCGCGCGCAAAGCGGCCAGCTAGTCTGGCGTGACCGACGCGGCCGCGGTGGCGCTGACCGCTGGGGACTTCCCAACGCGGCTCACAATCCTCGCTGACGCGCAGGAATTTCCGTGCGGGCGGTGACTCGGGCGGGAGCGGTATCATGGCGACGTCGACAACGGCAGATACGATGATGAGTGCAGCGATGCGAATGTCGACGATGGCGATGACGACGGCAAGGCAAATAACGCCGCCGATGTTGATCACGCCGATGACGATGATGATGTCCACGCGTCGGTGGTGAAGGTTTTGTAAAGATTTCGACATGCGCGCGCGGACGACGGGCGCGAGTGGCCCCCATGTCCTTCTTTGACAGGGATCGTGCCACCACCACCCCCCTAGCACGCGCTCAAGAGCGTCCGAATGATTTGGGCATGCGCGCGAAAAGTCCGTTTGGTCGCATGTGATGAACATGTCGGGGAGAAACCGATGGTGTTTTTAGTCATTCGCAAGAGCGCGCGCGCAGACCTTTTTGTTGAACATTGATGCTGCAAAACCATGTGCTCTTCTATGTTTCGGGACACTCGATGTTGAAAACGCTACTAAGCCAAAAAAAATTGAAGGATTCCAGCATGCGCGCGCGACGACGCGCGCGTGCGCACTTCGTCCCATGTTTTGCAAACGGGTTCTTGAAAATGGATGCTTGCTGATCAACGAATGTGCGCGCATAGTGTTTTTGCCGAGAATGATGGGGGGTCGAAACCGGCTAGGCTGGGTTGGTATGAACTCTTACTTGGGATGGACGAAGGGTCTGGAGAATAAATGAATTCACAAGCGAAAACAACAACGGATAACCATCGGGGGTGGGGATCGAATCTAGTTTTTCTTTATGAGGAAATGAGAATCCATGTAGCCAATGTACGTGGTGCAATACATGTGGTGCGCAATATATGTCGTGCGCCCTGCGTGGATCAATCTACGTGGTGCAATAGATGTTGTGCAAGCACGATGTACAATATAATGTGTTGCACAACCCACGTTGTGCAATATATGTTGAGCAATCTACGTTGTGCAATTACTCCTTGTTGCGGCGACGAGGCGGCGACGCGGCGGCGACTGGGCGGCGACGGCGGCTTCATAGCCGCCAGACCGACCGTCAGGCCCAGTTCCTTAGAAAAGAAGTAAGAAGCGTAAGTGCAGCACTGTTTCGGGAGATTCGGGGATCTCTGAGAGCCGGCACTCCTGGAGGACCATCGCGCGCCGCGGCCGTGCTAGAGCGTTCCGGAACACTGTGAGAGCGTCCTGGGGCGCGCCGGAACGATGCATCCCTATCCTACGCCTGCCTGATACCTCGGCGTCCTGGCTGCACCTCAGGACGCCCGTGCGCCCGCCCACCCACCCCACCCAGGGGTACGCGGCGGGGCCCGCCGTGGTCTCGAGCTGGCGGCTGGCGCGAGGGAGTTCCTGGACGACCCTCCTCGGGCCCGCGGTGGACACGATCTCCTGGCGGAACGCCTCGCCTGCTCCTGCCCACTACGCCTGCTCACTACCTCCTTCTCCTCCTCCTCCTCCTCCTCCTCCTCCTCCTCCTCTCCTCCTCCGCACTCCTCTCCTCCTCCTCCTCCTCC